GGCTGACCGATCACAGCGCACGCTGGTCAGGCTGACCGATCACAGCGCACGCTGGTCAGGCTGACCGATCACAGCGCACGCTGGTCAGGCTGACCGATCACAGCGCACGCTGGTCAGGCTGACCGATCACAGCGCACGCTGGTCAGGCTGACCGATCACAGCGCACGCTGGCCCGGCTGACCGAGCACAGCGCACGCTGGCCCGGCTGACCGAGCACAGCGCACGCTGGCCCGGCTGACCGAGCACAGCGCACGCTGGCCCGGCTGACCGAGCACAGCGCACGCTGGCCCGGCTGACCGATCACAGCGCACGCTGGCCCAGCTGACCGATCACAGCGCACGCTGGTCAGGCTGACCGATCACAGCGCACGCTGGTCAGGCTGACCGATCACAGCGCACGCTGGTCAGGCTGACCGATCACAGCGCACGCTGGTCAGGCTGACCGATCACAGCGCACGCTGGTCAGGCTGACCGATCACAGCGCACGCTGGTCAGGCTGACCGATCACAGCGCACGCTGGTCAGGCTGACCGATCACAACGCACGCTGGCCCAGCTGACCAATCACATCACATTTCGTATTTCAGAAGGCGGGCGTTTATTTGATACAAGAACTATTTGAGCCGTTCTTCAAGACTTTGTAAAAGAGCATAATAGGACCCCTTTAAACCGAATGTGTGACTTCCAGTGTCCTTCACTCTCAGCAGTACAAAAACATTCTGCTTGATATTGGAAACTGGTAGTTGTTTTCATATTTTAATTTATCATAAACACACTGAGTTTACTGCACTTTTCTGTTCTACGAACAGCCCTGTGCATGGATAATAATTTCTGTTTTTAGATTTTTTGCTCTGTATATTTTGTAGTGAAATAATTTCAGCATTTGGAGTTGTTCTGATGAACAGCTGTGATATGCCTGTGTGAACGGAGTTGTGTTCTCTCTCAGGAGCTCTTCCTCGCTCCTCTGGCGACTGCATCGTCTCCTCTATATCCATCCCTCCGTCTGCACGCATGGCTGTCGCTTCGGAGACGCTTCTGTACCACATCCAGCCGTCGTCAGCCGCTCTGGGTCAGCTGGGCTCGGACACCATCATCGTCACAGACTACACAGAGGTGGAGCTCAGCAGCCAGGAGGAGTCCGAGGAGCTGATGGAGAAGAGCGTGGAGGTGCTGCTCGTAGACCAGAGTCCTGCTGTATCTGTGGAACAACCTGTGCTTTTCACTGACAAACCAACACAAGCTGATGTTTCTCACGGAGCTGCGAGCGACGCCCCAGCGACAGCATCCCATAATGAGACGCAGAGTGACGACAATCTACGGGACGAAGTCTTGACGGATGAATCCAACCAGCTGACCCCAAACGACTGTCCTGGGTCTGCACCACAGGAAGTCAAAACGCCCGAATCCGACGTTGACCAGAAACCGCCGCAGCGGAGAGGCCGAGGAAGACCGAGAAAAACTACAGAGACGACTGACCAAACAATCGTGGTAAAAACACCACGTCGACGAGAACGACCGGTTAAACTGGAGAACAGTGCAGAGGAATGGTGAGACATGAGATGAGACTCACTTCCGCAAATCAAGCAGCATGTGCTGCGCTTCATTTATCAAGAATAAAATATTCTTAAATTTTTTTTGTTTCAGGAGTGCCGTCTCACCACATGGAGAGCGTAAAGGTAACGTTGTGCTTTCACTACACATACAGCAGATGCAAAAGCTATTTGACCACAACGTTTGTATCATATGCAGTCATATAACAGCAGTTAGTGGTTTTGATTGGTTTACATCAGGGGTGTCCAATCCTGCTCCTGTAGGGCTGCACAATTAATCGAATGCGATTGTCATGCGTATCTTGTCAGTAAAGCCAGTTCTGTGATCAGTAGTAAATCTCCATCACGTGCTTTCAGGTGGAGCAGCATTTACTACACAGAGACGTAGTTCACTGACAAGCTACGCAAAACCGCATTCATAATCGCGCGATTATGAAATCGAAGAAATCATTCTGCAAGTATGAAAGCTGTTTGCGTAGCTTGTCAGTGAACTATGGCTCTGTGTAGTAAATGCTGCTCCATCTGAAAGCACATGAAAATACCACATTTAATATGTTTTTACTCCAAACTCACTTCATAACGTCAGTCGAGTGTTTGAAATAAATCCTTCTGTGAGATGATGTGACTTCTTACACAGAATAAGGCACGCAACATATTTCATAGTATTCTAAGCAGTGATAAAGGCATTGCATTATTATATACTTTATTATAATAAACATTATAATAAGATGAACTCCGATAAGCCATATATTGTCGTAGTCGTTTGTTTATTAGTCATGGTGAATCAATGAAAGCAGCTAAATCTACTGTTTCTCTTTCAAGCATACGTTTTGGTGTCTCACTATGGTATACGCCTCTTCCGCGTATTCCTCAGAAGCCCAATTCCATTACGCCAGCCCCAATTGGCTGGCAGACATGACGTTGCGCCAGGGAGTGGCTCCCTCCCCTTGGTATGAAAGGAGCGAAGCAACGTCATCACGACATTCAAAAACCTCTTCTCGCTTCACACAGAAGCCTACCCAACTCAGATAGCCATCAACTAGTCTCCACGCTGGTTGCTGGCTTATAATTTTGGTACTGTACTTCTAGTCGATTTGTTGGCCACCACGCCGCTTTCGCCCACCCCTCAATCGGCACTCCAGCTCATTGTTAGGGTCGTTCAGTACCGCAACTATGGCTGCAGCAATGCAGACTACCATAGCTAGCGAGGGAGATCCGCGGCTTTGCTCATGAGGGAACAAGATCTCATGCGAAGACACACACCAGGTCTGCTCTGCATGTCTTAAGCTGAAACATGCCTAAATGGCGATCGAAAGTCCCGGCTCCTGTGAGCACAGCGTGCGTTTTACCATGAAGAGCCTCCATCGCAGGTTAGCACGCCAAGCTAGCTTGTCTGGCCAGGATCCCCTCATGTCAGCTAGCCCCGCTCCGGTTTCCGCCCCTCAGGTATCTATTCCTGTGGAGCTGCCTATCACGGCAGCTCTATCGTGGGGTGAACAACTGGATGTGTGCGCCCCTCTGCCCGGTGTCCTCAGCACGGACGAGGAGGAGGAGGACACGTTTGAATTTGAGGAAGAGGGGCAATCAGATTTTCTTCTCTCTGAAGAGGAGGAAGATTTTGAGGATTCCCCTTTCCTTCCCCCTGCTCAACCGGCACAACCCCTCGCTACGGCGGGATCCACGGAGGAGGCGGGAGGGGCACCATCCTCTCCGCTTGTTAGTGTCGATCTGCAAGACGTGTGCAAATGCGCTGTGGAGAAACTCAATATTCCGTGGCCAACCGTAGTAGCTGACACTGCAAAGTCGTGCAATGAGGGTTAAGAGGCTGCCGAGAGCTAAACGGGCAGCGAGACAACTCCTTCCAGTCTTTCCAGAGCTTCTGGAAGAGGTTTTACGTCACCTGGAAGGACAATCCTTTTACTAGTAAAATGCCCGTGCAGGGGGGATCTGCTCTTAACATGGAGGGGATGAAGAAGGAGGGCCTTCTTCACATGCTCCCCATGGAGCCTTTAGTCGCAGCGCATCTGCATCCAAAGCGCACGGCGGCCGAGAACACGACATTGCCATCAAAAGTGGACCGCTTCCAGTCAAGCAAGACGAAGTGCACTTACAAAGCAGTCACTCTCAGTCTGGGCCAGGTGGAGCTGCAAGGCGAGGTGTCTGCCACGCCAAGTCAGGCACAGTGGGAGGAAATCTATGTCGTCACAGATCTCTCACTCCGTCTTCAGAGATGTGCCGTTCAAGCTCCGGGCAAGGCCATGGCCACAATGGTCATTCATAATCAGCCTTCGCATTCCAAGGCAGTGAAGAGAATGAGAGACAATGCAGTGGTGCACACCCACCCACTAGCACTTTACATGCTCAAAGTTCAATAAAGTTTTCACTGTTTCCCCAAAAAATGTTGCAAAAAACTTTATCAGAACACAGCATAACACCACTTCGGGGAGTCATCGCTCTGCTGAAGGTGGTGCGCCACGTAAACTCTGTCCAAATGGCAAGTGTTCGCGCATGCACAGTACAGACCACAAACTAATTTTCGACTCGGCCACACAATGGCGCCAGAACGCTGTAAGTAAACTATTGGCGAGAATGCACGTAGTCCCGTTGGGTGCTGAGAACAGTGCAGTACGGTTACAGACTGCAGTTTGCCACTTGTCCCCCGCAGTTCAAAGGAATAATTTATTCTCAGGTGCAGGGAGGATTAGTACATGTTCTTCAGGACGAGGTTACCTCCCTGTTGAAAAAAAAGCAATAAGAGTGGTTCCACCCGAGGAAAGTTACAGTGGGTTTTACTCGAGATACTTCCTAGTTCCGAAAAAAGGGACTCAAACTCTCCGTCCCATATTAGATCTTCGTGCACTGAACAAATACCTAAGGAAGTACAAGTTCAGAATGCTCACCCACTCTACACTTCTGAAATTGGTGCGCCCAGGCGATTGGTTTACCTCAATCAACCTGAGGGATGCATATTTTCACATAAGAATATATCCACCCCACAGGAAATTTCTGAGGTTTGTATTCCTTGGCGTGGCATACGAATATCTAGTTCTTCCCTTCGGCCTGTCCCTCAGCCCAAGGGTATTCGTGAAATGTACAGAAGTGGCCCTAACTCCCTAACCCTTAAAATTAAACACCGAAAAGAGTGTTTTAGTTCCCAGACAATCAATAACTTATCTGGGGTTGTTACTGGACTCAGTTGCATTCAGAGCGCAACGGTCAGAGGAGAGAGTAATGAAATTTACGCAATGCCTGGCCAAATTTCGGAAGGGGAACAGTGTTTATTTTCGCACATGCCTCAGACTATTAGGTATGATGGCCTCAGCTCTAATAGTCATTACCTTAGGCAGACTATTTATGAGAGAGTTTCAACACTGGGTAGCCTCTCTGAGACTGGACCAGTTACGGCACTCCCGGAGGAGAGTGAGAGTGACATCATCGGCAGTCTTGGCACTGCGTCATTGGCAGCGCCCGTGCTTTCTGGTGCAAGGGGTACATATGGGCTTTGTCCAGGCCAGGAAGGTCATAACGACGGACGCGTCGTTGTCCGGCTGGGGGGGCATTCACAAGGGCAGGGCAGTGAACAAGAGATGGGGTCACCATCTGAGCCACTGTCACATAAACTACTTGGAAGTGGTGGCCGGCTTTCTAACGTTGAAGCATTTTCTTCCTTTTCTGAAAGGACATCATGTTCTGGTAAAAACAGACAACACTACAGTTGTGGCTTACATAAACAGGGAGGTCTCAGATCACTCCCCTTACACATGTTGGCACGCAAACTGATTTTGCGGAGCAATGCCAGTCTTTTATCCCTGAGTGCGACGCAAGTAAAGGGTTCATGAACCGGGGTGCAGATCTGCTGTCCAGGGGAAATCCCCTTTACAGAGAATGGAAACTGAACACTGAAGTGGTCGGTCAAATTTGGAGCATATACGGCAGCGTGACAGTGGATCTGTTTGCGTCGCAGGACAATGCTCAATGCCCTCTGTTCTTCTCTCTGAAGGATCAGAGCGTGCCTCTGGGAATAGATGCCCTGGTGCACGAGTGGCCTCGCACTCTCCTTTATTGGCTGGTGGAGATCATACATATGTTGTACGTAGAGCCATGGTCCCTGCCGCTGCGCAGAGATCTGCTGTCACAGGCGGGGGGGGGGATTTTTCATTCTCATCCAGAACGCCTGGCACTGTGGGCCTGGCCAGTGAGTGTCTAAATATGAATGCGGCTGGTCTGCCAGACAGTGTCATCAGAACTATACAGAATTCTAGGGCCCTGTCCACTCGGTCACTCTATGAATGTAAATGGGGCGTGTTTGAGCATTGGTGTGCGGCTAGACACGTAATCTCCTTTCAGTGTTCTGTGGCAGTTATTCTGTCTTTTCTGCAGGATCTGATAGATCAGGGTAAAGCGTTTTCAACCATAAGGGTGTTTCTAGCTGTGATATCTGCCTGTCATGTAGGTTTTGATAACAAAACTCTTGGGCAGCACCCTTTGGTATGCAGGTTTATGAAGGGTGCGCGTCATGCTTTACCAGTCTCAAAACCGATTTCTCCTTCATGGGATCTGGTGCTTGATGCACTTTCTGTGACTCCATTTGAGCCACTGGACAAGACTGACATTAAATTATTGTCATTTAAGACGGCGCTGCTGTTGGCTTTGTCTTCAGTGAAGTGTGTAAGTGAAATTCACGCTTTTTCGGTGCATTCAGCGTGTATGCAATTTATGCCAGGGGATGCAGGGGTGCTTTTGAAACCTAATTAGGGCTGGATGATATGGCCAAAATTTATATCACGATATATTTCTTAATTTCGGTCGATACGATATAATCCGATATCGATATGAACACTATTTATCTGAAATAGAAATCTTTTGTAACATTATAAATGCCTTTTGATCAATTTTAGGCATCCTTGCTAAATAAGTATTAATTTCTATAATTTCTTTCCCAAAAAAATTATAAAAATTATACTGACTCCAAGCTTTTTGAATGGAATAGTGTATGTTACAAAAGCTTTTTATCTTGAATCTTGAAAAAATGTACTCAACTGTTTTAAATATTGATAATCAGCAAATCATCATATTATACTGATTTCTGAAGATGTGACACTGAAGACTGGAGTAATGATGCTGAAAAGTCAGCTATGATCACAGGAATGAATTACATTTTAAAATCTATTGAAATAGAAAGCAATTTTAAATAGTAAAAATATTTAAAAAATTTACTGTTTTTGCTGTACTTTGAATCAAATAAATGCAGCCTTGGTGAGCAGAAGAGAATTCTTTAATAAAAAAAAACATTAAATATCTTACTGTTCAAAAACTTTTGACTAGTAGTGTAGGCTGATTATTCTTATAGATTGAAACAGATGTGTTTCAGTCAAAAAAAAAAAAAAAAAAAAGTGTATGAAATGTGCTGCACAAAACAAAAAACATTGAACGACAACAAAAACTGGAAATGTTGCTGGAGTCGGGCTCTTCGAAAATGCTAATTCATTCTCTGCCAGCAGGAGGCGCTTTTAGAGTGATAAAACTAGCGGTTTCCCTGGTAACGGCTGTAATCAAATCAGCTCCGCTCATGAACGCTACTTTATCAGATAAAAATGAAAATGTCATCGAAACTTTTCTGAAGACAGTCGGTTCCCTTCAGAGATACATTCATATAAAACACCCGCGACGTGTTTTGATTTTGAAACGTGCGGTGCTCATGTTTACTCAACAAAGTCAAACGATTCAAAAAAATAAATGTATGGGAAACACTGGTAATGTATATTGGAAATATGTTTAAAAATCATATCACCGTTATTGGAAAAAAATTATATCGCGATACATATTGAATTATTGTCCATCCCTAAACCTAATCCTGCTTTTATGGCCCGTCTGGGGAAGCTGATTACTTAACAGCGTTTATCCCACTGGATAGTGGAGGCAATTTCTCTTGCCTATTCCAGTAAGGGTCTTACGCCTCCATCTGGTTTACTTGCTCACTCAACGAGAGGAATGTCGACGTCATGGGCTCTCTTTAAAGGGGTCACGCTACAAGATATCTGTGAAGCAGCGAGTTGGTCCTCACCGCACACATTTGCAAGGTTCTATAAACTGGATGTTACATCTCAAACATTTGCACATGCCGTATTGAGTGTTGGATCTTGAGTGTTGACTTAACCAGCCCTATAATAGTTCTTTGGTTGGCAGGAGACTTTGAGACCGGCTATCTGGCAATACGGGAGTTAGGATATCCCATAGTGAGACACCGACACCTATGCTTGAAAGAGAACAATAGGTTACTTGCATAACCCCGGTTCTCTGATAGCATAAAGTGAGGTGTCTCACCAGATCACCATCCTTCCTGTGTGAAGCGAGGAAGAGGTGTGCTTGTTTTGAATGTTTGTGATGACGTTGTGTCACTCCTTTTATACCAAGGGGAGGGAGCCGCTCCCTGATGCAACGTCATGTCTGCCAGCCAATTGGGGCTGACAAATGCAGCTTCTGCCTAATCACGATTAATCGCTTTTGCGATTTAATTTCAATTAATCGTTTAGTTTCAACCCAATTTAAAAAACATCTGAACCAGCTAATCAAGGCCTTATTGGGCAAACTAGAAACTTCCAGGCAGGTGTGATGAAGTGTGTTGGAGCTGAACTCTGCAGGCCCTCCAGGGCTGAATTTGCACACCCCTGCTTTACATGATACACCACTAAAGCTACTAGTAAAGGATGATAACAATAAATCTGATTTTCAGCAACAATCTGACGACCTCCAGTGATGCACTGCTTAATTACAGTTATAAATGTCATGGCAGTAATACACATGTTGGACAGATGTTGATTAACAGAATTTCAAGCTTGTTTTCCTCTCGTTTCTCACAGATGGCTCTGACGAGCCGCCCAGCAGACCTGAAACGCCTGCGAACGGAGCAGAAACTTCTACCGGCCCATATCGCACACGGAAAACCTGCAAAACTGAGCCGCCACCCACCGACAACCCTCGCGCTCGGCACGCATGCGACACCTGCGGCAAGAAGTTCACGCGCAGGTCCGATGTCCAGCGGCACCAGCTGACACACACGGGCGAGCGTCCCTTCCACTGCAGCCTGTGCGAGAAGACGTTCCAGCACGCCTGGGATCTGACCAAACACTGCCGCAAGATGCACGGCGAGGCCAGCTTCACCTGCCGGATCTGCCAGAGCGCCTTCGCCAACTTGCGCCTGCTGACGGCGCACCACAAGAAGAGCCACGCTGGCGAGCTCCCGCACTACTGCTCCATCTGCGGCGAGGCCAGTCCCACGGTCAGCGCGCTCGTGACACACCGCAAGACCCACAGCGCCACGCAGCAGTACCGCTGCGACCAGTGCGGCGAGGGCTTCGACACGCTGCTGCAGAGATCCCTGCACCGTCAGAGCCACCGCAGGCGCCACCAGTTCAAATGCCCGCAGTGCGAGAAAACCTTCACGCGCCGCACCGATGTCAAGAGACACCAGCTGAGCCACACAGGCGAGCGCCCGCATCAGTGCTCTGTCTGCGGGAAGCGCTTCGGGCTCCGCGCCGGGCTCCAGAAACACCTGGTGACGCACACCGGCGAGCGTCCGTTCCGCTGTCCGCACTGCATGAAGAGTTTCACGCAGCTTTCCATCCTGCGCCGGCATGAGCGCATGCACACCGGCGAGCGGCCCTACCTCTGCTCACAGTGCGGGAAGCGCTTTCTGTCACTCGGGGAGCTCATCAAACATGATAAAACGCATGCAGACGAGCGGCCGCATTCGTGCCCGCAGTGCCACAAGAGCTTCAAGTTCAAGCGCGCTCTCCAGGAGCACCTGCTTTCGCACAGCGGCGCGCGGCCGTTCCCCTGCGTCTACTGCGGGAAGATGTTTGCCAAGCCCTTCGCTCTGACCAGACACCACCTGATCCACACCGGCGAGAGGCCCTTCTCCTGCGGTCACTGCGAGCGCACCTTCCTGACCTCCACCGAGCTGGCACTGCACGAGCGCATCCACACCGGCGAGCGGCCCTTCTGCTGCGTTGCGTGTCCCCGGCGCTTCCGCAGCTCCTCGGAGCTCGCCAGACACCGCCGCAGTCACTCGCAGGAGCGGCCCTACCGCTGTGCATACTGCCCCAAAGCCTTCGCCAGCGCCGCCAAACTCAAGAACCACACCAGGGTCCACACGGGCGAGAGCAAACCCAAACGCCCCGCCGTGACGGAAGTAAGCGTTATTTTAGAGTAAATGGCCATTCATTCGGAAAGAAAAGCCTTTATTGTGTGATGCGTGTATAGTGTCTGTGTGATTAGAGCTGCTTCTGTTGATGTGACTGCACTGTATTCAACACTGACCATTATGGATAAAGAATTTTATACCATATGTAACCATATTAAATTGTCATTAGTTCTCAACTCAAGAACAGGCACTTCATCATCTTTAATGTGAAACTGAAGAAGACTTTCAGAGGAGCTCATATGCAGTCGGACTGTGAAATGAGAAGCTTCTCTCTTCATGTGGTTCAGATGGAGCTGCAGGTGCTTTATGTTCTTGAGTCATTTATATCTGCAGTAGCGTAAGGGTTTATTTTATTATGCATTTTTTCAAAAGTCTATTCATTGGAGTTGTCCTTTATCAAAATACAAGCAGTACAGAAACATCTAGAACTTCACTCGTCCCAGTCTCTTTCACTAAACATGCATAAATCAATACATGTAAATATAGAAGCTTCTTTAGAAAGGCAAGAAATATGCCACTATTCAAAAAATCACTAATTTAGAAGGTAATTCAATTAGAAATCATCAGATGTCTTAACTTTCATTTGCTGATCTCTCAGAGTCGCTGTTTAGTTACAGCAGAGCCGCTGTGGTTTCACCCTCAAGCTCTCATTGAACATCGAGTTTCTTTAGTGTTTTGGAAACACGGACACCAGCAGAAAGTGTGAATGGGAAGGAAATAAAATGTGGTTTGCAGAACAATATTAATGCGGGCTGTGTTCTCCTGATAGGAAAGACTGTGAGCGTCTCTGCGCTTCTGTTCTCTCGTCGTGACCAATTAGTTCTGTATCTGGTGGTGGTCTTTCATCTGAAGTGGGACACACGGAAAAAGACACAAGAGGCTCCATGAATAAGCGCCTCACAAAAACAGGGTCCGTCGTCATGAGAACCTCTTTTGTTCTTGTTCTCTATGCAGAAGAGACTCACGAGCACTGAGCATCTGTCTGTGTTTCTGTCGGTGTTTGTGTTCATGCCGACTCTGATTCTCAGGGTCAAACGGAGTGCGTTTCTTCAGATGTTTGTAGGCACATTAGAAATGGTGTGGGTAGTTTAGAAAAACTGTGGGTTGGTTACGGGTTTCCTTAGTTGGCAAGTTGTGTTTTGTAAACAGACACCAGCAGAAAGTGTGAATGAGAAGGAAGGATGAAGTGATGGTGAGCGTGTTTGAGAGCTGAACTAACCATCTCAAGCTTTCTTCTCTGATTCGGTCCTCCCTTCATGCTGTTCATTTGAAATGAATCAGAAACACACACACCTGATCTGAAAAGTTTGATAGTTGTAACGGCTTTGTTTGGGTCAGAAACGAGAGCAGAACAGATGCAGACACTTCGAGGCCGGACAGAAGTCGAACAGCAGATGAACATCACAACACTCTTCTGTGTGTGAGCCTGGTTTCTCCCAAGGTTTGTTTTTCTCCATTTCTGTCACTGCTGGAGTTTTGGTTCCTTGCTTCGTTGGGAACGCTTAATTTCTGGCAACATTGTTGACTTGACTGCACGGAAACTATCGGAAGAGAACTGAACGATGAATCAATGATGAACTGATAAACTGACGGTTTTCTATTGTCCTCTTGCATTATCAGCACACGATTTTCCTGTTTGACTCTGTAAAGCTGGTTTGACACAATCTGTATTGTATAAAGAGCTTATAAATAAAGGTGATTTGACTGTGTGTGTGTGTGTGTGTGGTTCATTGTTATTCAGTATTAGCCACTGAAGTCTGACAGGAACATTTGGAGACTTGATTTCATTGCACCGTTGTCTCTCTGTTTCTCGGAGCAGCATTTGACTCGTGTTCATTAGTGTGATCAGGAATCTCTTCTCATGAGTCAGTCTGCCACAACACCACCCAGCAGACCTGTACTCTACTCTACAGTGTGAGGTGTGTGTGTGTTAGATCTGCCTACAGAAACACAAACACACACATGATGTTTACGGCTGAGCATGCGGCGGAGCTCATCATGTGCTCAACAGAAGATCTGCTGAGGTTTGCTGCAGTGTTTCTGACACATTCATGACTTGTGTGACTGATGTGCTTCCATCCATCTGTTAAAGCTGCACATTCATGGATGTTTCTCATTAGATTAATTAAAGACCTCTATCTTTTGTATTTCATATTTCACTGCAACAAATGTATTATTGCACTGTGCGTGTCTGTGAACTGCTTCAGCATTTTGTCATCAGTCACCAGGCATTTACACTGACCACAAAACCATATTTGTCACAATTAATAACCTATATCAGGAGGATCAGCTCATAATAACTAATTGATCAGACTCTGATTGATTCTGTGCTTGAGACTCATTCCTACATTGCGTTCAGATGTACAGTCGTGGACAAAAGTTTTGTTAGTGACATACATTTTGTGTTTTGCAAAGTTTGCTGCTTCAGTATTTGTAGATTATTTTTTCCACATGTTTCTATGGTGTACTGAAAAGCATATAAGTTTTAAAGTCTTTTATTGTCAAAAATATATAATGAGTCAATATTTACAGTGTTGACTCTTGTTCTTCATAACCTCTGTAGTTCACTCTGGCATGCTGGATATTAGCTTCTGGGCCAAATCCTGACTGATGGCGATCCATTCTTGCTTTATAAATTCTCGGAATCTATCACAATTTGTGGGCTTCTGCTTGTCCACTTGCCTTTTGAGGACTGACCACAGGTTCTCTATGGGATTGAGATCCAGGGAATTGTCTGGCCATGGATCCAAAATTTCAATGTAATGATCTTCGAGCCCCTTCTTTATCACTCTTGCTTTGTGA